CCAGAGCACCCTAAGGAGCACCCAGAGTACCCTAAGGATCATCCTAAGGAACACCCTAAGGATCACCCAGAGCACCCTAAGGAGCACCTGGAGCATCCAGAGCACCCTAAGGAGCACCTGGAGCACCCTACGGATTTTGGGGTGCCCCATGGGGATCCAAGGGATGGAGCTGTGTGCTGTGGCTGTTGTCATCCTCCTCTTCATCGCTGTGCTCAAGCAGTTTGGCATCCTGGAGCCCATCTCCGTAGAAGGTACTGAGTTCGTTAAGGGGTTAATTAGTGCTCGTGGGGGTTAATTAGCTTCATTACCACCCTATCCTTTCCCCCCTCTGTCCCAGCTTGGGTTGGTGCCATTAGTTGTGGGTAGTGGGAAAGGATTGTTGTGGGTATAACCAGGTGGATCTGCAACTCTGATTAATGAGTCCTAATTAGCCTTAATTAGTCCTAATGAATGCATTGATTAGCCAATCATCTCCCCTTGCCCCATCCTGGGTTGTTCTCATCACTCCTCTCTGCATGGAATGACCTCTGGGGACCTTTAATGGTCCTTTAATGGTACAACCAGGTAGAGCTGGAGGCCCTAATGAACCTTAATTAATCTTAATGAAGTCATTAAGGGCATTAATTATCCCCACAGCCCCATCCTGGGGTGGTCTCAACCTTCTCCTTCGCATGGCACAACCTCTGGGGGCATCAAATGGTCCCTGTAGGTACAACTGGGTGGATTTGGGGTCCTTAATTAGCCTCAATTAACCCTAATTAACTCACTAATTAGCTTGGCCCTCCCAGACAAGACTTTTGGGGTGATGTCTGAGACTTTCCAAACCTTCTGTGACCCCTCAAACCTTCTCAAATCCCTCCTGGACCTCCTCCCTTGGGACTTCCCTTGCTTCAATTCTTAATGAGAAATTATTAATTAATAACCTCGGGAATGTTCTCAGCCTTGGGAATGTGGGAAAAGCCTCAGGATGAGACACCCTGGGGAATTTTTTTGGGGGGTGGAGATGGTTTAAAGGTAATTTTGGGGAAGATTTGAGGGGTTTGAGGTGTTTTTTGGAAGGATGGAGATGATTTTAGGCTGCTGAGGTGACTTTAGGGGTGCTGGGGTTGGTTTTTTTGGGGTGCTGGGATGGGTTTTTTTGGGTGCTGGGATGGGTTTTTTTGGGTGCTGGGATGGTATTTTGGGGTGAGGAAGTGATTTTTTTGGGGATTTTTACCCTGGGGGTGTCTCTCCCTGCAGACACCACTGACCCCGACGTGGAGCTCCCAACAATTCGCCACCAACCCGAGGCCTTGGAGCATCTCCTGGCAAGGACCAGCTTCACCAAGACAGAGCTCCAAACCCTCTACAGAAGCTTCAAGAATGTGAGTTTTTTGGGGGGTCCCACCTCAGTCAACCCCAAATTTGGGGCTCTCCAAGTTCACTGGGTCCCACTTTGCCCCCCAGGAATGTCCCAGTGGCCTCGTGGATGAAGAAACCTTCACCCTCATCTACTCCAGGTTCTTCCCTCAAGGAGGTGAGTTGGGGTATCTCAAATCTCTCAGGAGGGTCCCAAATCCCTCAGGAGGGTCCCCAAATCCTCATGGGGGACCCCAAATCCTCAGGAGGGTCTGGGGGTGTCCCAGTCCCAGTCTGGGTGGCACTGGGATCATTGTCCTCCTCCTCTTTCCTCCTTAGATGTCACCTCCTACGCTCACTTCTTGTTCAAGGCCTTTGATGCTGATCACAATGGAACTCTTTGCTTCCAGGTGGGAATTCCTGGTGGGAATGGTTGGGAGTCATCATTGCCTCCAACTTTTCCTCCTCCTCCTCCTATTATCCTCCTCCTTCTCCTCTTCTCCTCCTCCTGCTTCTCCTCTTCTCCTGCTCTTCACCTTTCTCTTCTCCTCCTCCTCCTTCTTCTCCTATTATCCTCCTCCTCCTCCTCCTGTTCTCCTCTTCTCCTCCTGTTTTTTCTTCTCCTGTTCTCCTCCTCCTTCTCCTTTTCTCCTCCTCCTCTTGACCTCCTTCTTCACCTCTCCTCCTTCTCCTCCTCCTCCACTTCTCCAACTTCTCCTCCTGGTCTTGTTCTCCTCCTCCTCCTCCTCCTCCTGCTCTTCACCTCCTCCTCCTCTTCTCCTCCTCCTCCTCCTCCTTCTTCTCCTGTTCTCCAACTTCTCCTCTTCCTGCTCTTGTTCTCCTCCTCCTCCTCCTCTTCTCCTCCTCCCAAACCACCACACACCCTTATGTATCCCACCAGGACACACAGACAGCTAAAACAACTGGGAAAACAAAGGAAATAATCCCTTGGGATCGATGTGACAGCACTGGGAGGTGGTGAAGGAAGTTCTGGGAGGGTCAAGGTCCTGTCCCCAACTCAAGACATGTCCCCCCCAACAGGATTTCGCCTTGGGGCTCTCGGTGCTGCTCCGAGGGACAGAGCAGCAGAAACTCAGGTGGACGTTTGACCTCTACGACGTCAACAAGGATGGTTATGTCACCAAAGAGGTGAAACTTTTAGGGGGGAGGGAGGTTGGGATTCACCATTGCCTTCAAATTTTCCTCCTCCTCCTCCTATTATCTTCCTTCTCCTCCTCCAACTTCTCCTCCTCCTTCTCCTGCTCTCCTCCTCCTCCTCCTCTTATCCTCCTTCTCCTCCTCCAACTTCTCCTCCTCCTTCTCCTGCTCTCCTCCTCCTCCTCCTCTTATCCTCCTTCTCCTCCTCCAACCCTCCTCCTCTTATCCTCCTTCTCCTCCTCCAACTTCTCCTCCTCCTTCTCCTGTTCTCCTCCTCTTATCCTCCTTCTTCTCCTCCAACTTCTCCTCCTCCTGTTCTCCTTCTCCACTTCTCCAACTTCTCCTCCTTCTCCTGTTCTCCTCCTCCTCCTCCTGTTCTCCTCCTCCTCCTCCTATTATCCTCCTTCTCCTCCTCTTCTCCAACTTCTCCTCCTCCTGTTCTCCTCTTCCTCCACTTCTCTTCTCCAGCTTCTCCTCCTCCTCCTCCTCTTCCTCCTCTTCTCCTGTTCTCCTCCTCCTCCTCCTGTTCTCCTCCTCCTCCTCCTATTATCCTCCTTCTTCCTCCTCCTTCTCCTCTTCTCCTTCCCCCCTCCCATTTTCTTCCTCTTACTCCTATTATCCTCCTCCTCCTTCTTCTTCTCCTCCTCCTCCTCCTTCTCCTCTTCTCCTTCTGTTCTCCTCCTCCTTCTCTTCTCCTCCTCCTTCTGTCCTGGGAGGTGGTGACAGGGTGGGGGACACCCCAAGAAGGACCTTTTGGGGAGGAGGTGACACCTCAAGAAGAACCTTCTAGTACTTTGTTCCTTTCCCAGGACATGTTGGAGATCATCAAGAGCATCTACGACATGATGGGTGGTTGTTCCCAACCCAACCCAAGGGTCACAGCTCCTGCCCAGCACGTGGAGATGTTTTTCCAGGTGAGATTGGCACCGTTGGCACCTCCTCCTGGGGAGGGGACACACCAGTATCCCCAGTATAGTCCCAGTCCCACCATGGCTACATTTCCAGCCTATCCCAGTAAGATCTCATGGTGTTCCTGTTGGGCTCCTAGAATGGTCCCACTAGCTCCTAGTCACCCCAGTATCATCCCATCACCCTCACGATGGTTCCAGTAGCTCCCAGTCCCTCCCAGCTGGAGCCCAGTTACCTCTAGCATAGCCCCAGTTGCTCCCAGTCCCTCCCAGTTGCTCTGTGGTGTCTTGCAGAAGATGGACAGGAATGGGGATGGAGTGGTGACCTTCGAGGAGTTCTTGGCCACTTGCAAGGAGGTGAGAGGCTCTGGGAGGGATTGGGAAACTCTGGGAGGGATTGGAAGGTTCTGAGAGGGATTGGGTAGCTCTGCGAGGGATTGGAAGGTTCTGGGAGAGATTGGAAGGTTCTGGGAGGGATTGGGAGGCTCTGGGAGGGATTTGGAGGTTCTGGGAGGGATTGGGAAGCTCTGGGAGGGATTGGGAGGCTCTGGGAGGGATTTGGAGGTTCTGGGAGGGATTGGGAAGCTCTGGGAGGGATTGGGAGGCTCTGGGAGGGATTTGGAGGTTCTGGGAGGGATTGGGAAGCTCTGGGAGGGATTGGGAGGCTCTGGGAGGGATTTGGAGGTTCTGGGAGGGATTGGGAAGCTCTGGGAGGGATTGGGAGGCTCTGGGAGGGATTTGGAGGTTCTGGGAGGGATTGGGAAGCTCTGGGAGGGATTGGGAGGCTCTGGGAGGGATTTGGAGGTTCTGGGAGGGATTGGGAAGCTCTGGGAGGGATTGGGAGGCTCTGGGAGGGATTTGGAGGTTCTGGGAGGGATTGGGAAGCTCTGGGAGGGATTGGGAGGCTCTGGGAGGGATTTGGAGGTTCTGGGAGGGATTGGGAAGCTGGGAGGAGAGGGATGGCACAGGAACTGGAGGGACCAGGATGGGATGCCAGGAGGAGGAGGAGGAGGAGGAAGGGCAGGGGGTGATCAGGGGATCTGTGCCCTCTTCTCCAGGACCAGGACATCATGAGCTCCATGCAGCTCTTCCACATGGAGCTCTGACCCCCCTGGCAGCATCCAGTGCCCACCCTGGAGCCAGGAAAATCCAGAGGGGGCACAGAGACAGTGCTGACCCACCTGGGGGGCACAGGGTCAGCACTGACCCCCAGAGTGGGCACAGGGACAGCTCTGACCCCCCAGGGCACCCAGAGCCCCCTGACCCCTCATCTGGGGGGCACAAGGCCAGAAGCACAGGGTCAGCACTGACCCCCAGAGTGGGCACAGGGACAGCTCTGACCCCCCAGGGCACACAGTGCCCCCTGACCCCCCACTTGGGGGGCACAGGGACAGTGCTGACCCCCCAGAGTGGGCACAGGGACCTGGCACAGCACAAACCACATCCCTTGCCATGGCACCCCCCAAATGGGACCCCCAAATGGGACCCCCAGGCCATGGGCACCCCCTGGCATGGGGGTACGCCTCGAGAGAAGACCCCCAGGGACTTGGGGATCCTCTTTTGGGGGGTCTCCTTATGCCACCCATGAAATGGTGCCCCCAAAAAAGCACAGAGACCTCCCTTAACCCCCCTTGGCACTCAGGGGATCCCAAAATTCCCTCCCAATCACTCAGGGGACCCCAAAATTACCTCCCAATCACTCAGGGGACCCCCCAAATCCCTCTCCTAACCTTTCCCATGGAATTCAAGGAATCCCCAAATTCCCTTCCCCCTTCCCAGCATGGATGATTTTATAAATAAAGTGAATCTTGATGATTTTGGGGTGTAATTAACTCGAGGCCACAGGGACTGGGGGGGACCCCAAATCTGGGGGTTTCGATCCCTGAGGGATCAGGTTTTGGGGAAATTTGGGAGTTATTTGGGGTTTTTTTGGCATCAGAAAGGGCTTTGGGGTGTCATGGGACTGTCCTGTCCCTATCCCTGTCTGTATTCCTATCCCTATCCCTGTCCCTCTTCATACCCCATCCCTATCCCTATCTCTATCCCTATCCCATTCCCTATCCCTATCTATCCCTATCCCTGTGCCTGTCCCTATCCCTGTCCCTATCCCTATCTATCCCTATCCCATTTCCTATCGCTATCCATCCCGATCCCTATCTATCCCTATCCCTATCCATCCCTATCCCTATCTATCCCTATCCCATTCCCTATCCCTATCCCTATCCCATTCCCTATCCATCCCTATCGCATTCCCTCTCCCTCTCCCTATCCCTATCCCATTCCCTATCACCATCCCTCTCCCTATCCCTATCTATCCCAATCCGTGTCCCTGTTCCCTCTCCTCCCATTGGCTGCCCTGGCCCGTTAGGCCACGCCCTCCGCGCGCTCCCATTGGTCAGTTCCTGGTGGGCGTGGCCTGAGCTCGGTGACCTTCACCCGGGGAGGGAAGAGCCACGTGACCTCCCGATCGCCACGTGACCTCCCGATCGCCCCCTGGCGGCGTGGCGGGTGAGAAACCGGGAACGGACACCGGGAACGGGATGGGAACACCGGGAACGGGGGGAGAAACACCGGGAATGAACACCGGGAACACGGGGAGAAACACCGGGAATGGACCCCGGGAATGGGGGAGAAACACCGGGAACACCGGGAACGGACCCCGGGAACGGGGGGAGAAACACCGGGAATGGGATGGGAACACTGGGAATGAACACCGGGAACAGGGAGAGAAACACCAGGAACACCGGGAATGGGATGGAAACACCAGGAATGAACACCGGGAATGAACACCGGGAACGGGATGGGAACACCGGGAATGAACACCGGGAACACTGAGAATGAACACCGGGAATGAACACTGGGAACGGGGGGAGAAACACCGGGAATGGGATGGGAACACCGGGAATGAACACCGGGAACACCGGGAATGGGCTGGGAATGGGCAACAGGGGGAATGGGGGGGAACACCGGGAATGGACCGGGAGATCGGGAACACCGGGAATGGGGAGGGAACACCGGGAATGGGATGGGAATGAACAACACCGGGAATGGGGGTGGGGATGGGCAACACCGGGAGTGGACTTGGAACACCTGGAATGGGGGTGGGGAAGGACCTGGGAATGGGGAACACCGGGAAT